ATTATGGCTGTTGAAAAGGTTTTATTTTTAGTGTATATATTTTTATAAAGTGAAATAAATATTTTTTTAGTAAAAAAAACACCTTTTTTTACAGCATTTATTAGTAGACATGTAAAATGTTAGAAATGAGAATTTTTTTTTTCTCTTATGTAAGAAGCAATGGTTCAAATACAGTTAATTTTTCAAGCAGAATATTATTCTGTATAAGTTCATAACTAAATTGGTGACTTGCCTAAATGGATTAGAAACAGTGGCTGAACTAGGCTCCCAACTCAATGGGATTGTTTTTTTATCATTTTCATTGAACCTTTGATTTTTGCCTGTTTTAGAATTGCAAGTGAAATCAATCCAACACATGATTCATTAATGGTGGGACATTTAACAATTGCAGTAACAAGTTCTCAGTAAGCACACGTGCAGTGTGTGTGCATATAATGGTTGCTAAGTGCAGCACACTACAGTTTGCATTATTTGAGAAAGATACTGATGCAGTAGTAGTAGTTTATGAATAAAAATTACCTTTTGAATATTATTTGTTCTGGTCATATATTTTTGGTTTGTGGAAATAATGCAATTAGTATTTTTTTGTGACTTACAAAAATATTTCTCCTTAGTGCCCCCAAAAGGCTATTACTGCCCTGGTTAGAAATGACACTATAACTAAAGCATTTACAAGGATAGATTTGTCAGAAATGACATTATAACTAAAGCATTGACTAGGTTAGATTTGTTAGAAATGACATTATAACTAAAGCATTGACTGGGATAGATTTGTTAGAAATAATGCTTTAGTTATAATGTTTACTAGGATAGATTTGTTAGAAATGACATTATATCTAAAGCACTTACTAGGATAGATTTGTTAGAAATGACATTATAATTAAATTAATGGCTCTTCTATATGGATTTAAGATGATATTATAAGTAAAATAGCCACATTTCTTGAAGTGTTTGAAATGACACTATAACTAAGTCAGTGACTTGACTCAATTTGTTTTAGAAACTTACAAATGACTTAAACTAAATGTATGATTTGTGATTTGGCTAGATCCATCAGAAAGTACATTAAAAAAGACATGTACTCAAGTAAGGTTTACAAAATGAATTGTAATTTTTATTTCTTTGTAATAAATAGCTGATTTGTAAACAATTGTGAATATGTTTTAAGACTTTATAAGATTTAACTAAAAAATTAAGATAACTACTTTTATTCTATATATGTTTTTTGCATTTATGTTATGTTTAGCTATAATTCAAAACAAAATCATTCGTATTGACAATTTTTTTTTTTTTTTCCACATTAGGTAGAGCTAGTGAATGGTGATCAAATTCAGCTGGTAAGACTGAGAAATCCACTTGGAACCAGCTCAGACTATGTGGGAAGTTGGTCTGAAAAGTAAGTATGTTATGGTTGTTATCAAGGAGTTCTGAAGGTATTAGTTTTTTTTGTTGTACTTTCAGAATGTTTGACAACCAAGGTAAAAAAAATACATACATTATGTGCTATTCAAGTTGTCAGAGAACAATAATACAAGTTCAAGCTATTTTCTAGCTGTCTTGATATATTATAAATTCATGATGAAACAACAAAAATGTAAACCATTAGTTTTCTTTTAGCTCATCAGAGTGGAATGAAGTTTCATCAGAAGAAAAACAAATAATAATGTACAGATCATTTGGTGATGGAGAGTTCTGGTGAGTGGAATACTGATTGTTTTAAGGTACAAAATTATTCATGACATTTAAAATCTATGCTGCTTTGCATTTATTTATACTAGCACTCAATATAACTAAGGGTAATAGTAACAAAATCAGGAAATATTAACTTATGAAAAAAAAACTTCCTGAAATACAAGTATATGGTTCATAATATATATACACACACACACACACTAAAAATCTTAATGAAGGAAGGGCCTCACAGGGATGGGCTCGGCTTTAAAACTTTACTGGGATTAAAGCTAGAAGGGGCCCACAAGTTTGTCAAAAAAATAACAAAACTATATACATTTCCAAGGGGGCCTACTGGGATTTTTCATGGTGTCTGGTTAGGCCAGTTCATACCTGGGGCCTCATAACGGTTTGACATTTTCCCCATTTGTCTAACTGTACAAACAACACATTCTGAGTTGGTGAGTGGAGCATGTCATCTTTCACATACTGTTTTTTTTCTATTTTGAAAGTCTTTTTATTTTTATTATTTAATTGATATCTGTATATTAGGAAAAGTACAAAAGTAATTTATGCAGTATTCACTCTTATAACATGTGATGCTATATATATATATATATATACATATAGTAGTGTCATCATACTTGTATTTTGTAAAGATATATATATAGTAGTGTCATTGTACTTTTATTTTGTAAAGATATATATATATATATATATGGATACTGACATAATTAGGAAGATATATACAACGCATCATGTATTTGTTGTAAATAGTTCCTTGTGTTATTTCTTTTAGGATGAACTATCAAGACTTTGTGAAAACTTTTTCCACATTAGAAGTTGTATATCTCGACACTGAAACCAGTAAGGATGAGCCCACTTTTCGAACTAAGACCCCATGGCACATGAAGCTTTGTCATGGACACTGGCTTCGGGGAGTATCTGCTGGTGGATGCAGAAATAATGCAGGCAAGTTTTCATTTGTGTTATTACAAATGGAGAAATCTTTTTTAACCATGGAAGTGGAATTTTAATGAGATACCGGCTAGTGAATTTTGATTAAATTTCCATTTTATATTCATAAATACCTTTAAAAGACAATAAGGGACCGATCCACTAAATTAAACTTAAAGCCAGCCATTATCATTCAAATATTTATCAAGCTTTCCCTTAAATTTAAACTCCCTTAAATTAAATGCATCTACCACATCTTAAGATAATCTATTCCAAATATGACTCCTACCCTGCCAAAATTTGTATTTGTGTTCCCTAGTCTTACCATTCTCACCATCAAGTATGGAAAAAGAAGATGCATCAACATTATCAATTCCCTTGACAACACATCACTCACATCCTCTATTTCTTCTTTTCTCAAGAGAAAACAAGTATAGAGATCTTAACCTATCCTTGTTTGACAACTTTTTTATCCCAGGTGTCATCCTAGTAGCCCTCCTCTGAACATTTTTCAATGATTCAAGTTCTTTCTAAGGTAAGGAGCCCAGGACTGAGCATAGTACTCAAAAATTGGCATAACCAATGGCCCATATAATTAAATTATATCCTCTTTAGACTTTTATTCAATATTTATGTAGATACAACTTAAAATCCTCTCTGCCTTTAGAAGTCATGGTAATTAAAGATGCTTCAATGACATGGAAAAAATTAGTCTTTACCACAAAATAGTAGACATGAGTTAGTTTAACTTCCTTATGAGCTAGGTGTTGCTGGTAATTTACATATTAAACATGATTATCTGCTGTGTTAACAGAATAGGAGACCAGTAATGTCTCGTTTATTATTAACACTTATGTCTATTTGTTTTGCAATCTAGTTTTTTAACTCACACTCAAGACTGCAAATTAACAATACTTTTGTACATTCAGAATTTTCATATTCTTTTGTAGTTGTGTACTAATGTGTGTGTTATTTTAACTATCTTGGTAGTGAGGCTACAGACAATTTTAACAGGTATATTTATTGATTGTACTAAAAAATAAACTTTTCAGACACCTTTCATGCAAATCCACAATATCAGCTGATTCTGTCAGACACTCAAGAGGTTTTGATTTCTCTCAACCAGCATTCTGTTCTTGAGCCCAAAGTAATTGGATTTAGTCTCTATCAGGTGAGCAAGGATACTAAAGTAAAGAACAGTTGAGAATGTTGTACTTTATATACAGGTGCTTGAGAATTTTAAATTGTAACATAATAAAATTGATGAATTACACACTAAGTGTTTTAGGTATAAAATATGCACGTATAAAAATTATGTTTTAAACATATTTTTATTCAACACATTGCTTTAGACAAGTCAGATTGTATGTAGGTTAGTAAAATCCAGACAATATCTGCATGTTATTGATGAGGTTGTTTTTGACTTTTAATATAATGTAACATAAAGACAACAAAAGGGCCATTTGGCCTTTCAGGCTTGTCCTTGTATACTCACCCTTGATTAAAGGGAAAATTTAAACCCATATTTTAATTATCATCTATTCCCCTTCTTAAATTCATATAAATTGCTAGCATTTGCTACTACTGATGGTAACTGATTCCATAAGTCAATCACCCTCTTACAAAAATGTAACTGTCTTAAATAGAGCCTAGCCTGTCTTTTTCAAATATTAAACTTAGGTCCTCTCATCCTCTTATTCTTAGAATATAGCATAAAGAAATGAGAGGCTTTTATCTCCTTGATTCCATGGAAAATAAGTTAAGAGATCTTAATATAAGATAACCCTTCCATCTTTAGAATCATCCTAGTAACTCTCTTCTGAACTTTTTCCAATAAGTCAATATCCTGATAAGGAGATAATTACCTCTTTTTGACTTGTAACCAATATTTCTATAAATACACAAATTATATTAGCTTTACTACTAGCAACCAAGCCAAGACTCTTTTATTCATTCATTGTATTGAGTGGGTTCCCATCTATATTAACCATTTAACTGCAGAATTTTCCAATGGAAAGGTGTCTTCAGTGCCAGAATTTCTGGTGAAAAATCCCTAAATCACCATAAAATGCACATATATGCACTGCAAATGTTAGAAAAGAACATTAAAACTATAAACACAACATTTTATAAGAAAAATAATGTAGTTTTACTACCTTTTTTTTCTGATGTCTGAAATGCTTGACCGTGTGGTACTTTGTGAAGCAGTCTGGAAGACACATGGGCAAGCATGCCCCCTCTCATACTTACAATTCATGCATCCCTGTTTGGCTTGCTTCCTCTTTGGATGTGAAGGGCTTTCACTGCACACTACACAGTTAGGCTTGTATTTAGGTTCTGGAAAAGGCATTGGAAAGTGATGCACTGTCAATTGCTCCTCCCTATCCTCTGAGTTATCCATCAACCTCCTCCCTTTCACAAAGGAATACAATCACAGAGTTTTGTTGACACCTTTTCCCTTAATGAGTGTGGCTTTATTTTTGAATTAGGGTTGGCAGCTATATACAGTATGCAGGAGTTGACTAGTGCTGCCACTCTGATGAAGTGATAATTGCGTGATACCACTTTTTGCAGTTGTGTCGATATGGGTAGCTGGTACATATCTGGTCAAACAAGTCAACTCCTCCCATTGAAGCATTGTAATTGCAGGCCATATTTGGTAATTTCAGATCCCTAAATCCAGTCTCTGACTGCTTGGATCGAATTTGTTTCTGAGTGTAGCCATTATTATCGATTGTCAAGAGGGAGTTGACCCTTTCAGTGTCATGCCAGGAGTTGGGGTTTGTTTGGTATTTACTGACGAAACTATATCCATCCCTTAACTTCCTCATTGATTCATCAATTGTAAGTTCATGACGTTGAGAATGTAATACTGTTTATACAGTGGCTTCACAATGTTCATGAATGGAGCAATTTTATACAAAGGCTCATATCCTTCCTCTCCACGTAGAACCCTTTGAGAATTTTCATGAAAATGAAGGAACGAATCGATCAGCTGGTAACGATTGTGTGATAATACATCTCAGTAACTGGGGGACTGTGCTATACCCCCAGTTTCCCAGTAGTCACTAATCCTTGGCTTGGAACACAATCCCATCATTATCTGCAAGCCAACATAGGCTTTGATTTCATCTGTAGTACACTCAACCCAATCATTGTAGCAAGAAGTTTCAAGGAGGTCCACTGGATTATCAAAGAACTCCAGGGCATAAGTGTTAGTCATCTCAAAAATAAGCTCAAATGCTTCCTGAGGGAATAACAAGTAGAAATAATCTACGGGGTGGTTACCATCAGGCAAAGGTGGAATCACAGGGCCAGGCCTTTTGACATAAGCTGGGCACCAAATTGGGATATAATTTTCATAATAATCATCAATGACCCACTCATGACCAGTATCAGCCATGCCCCCTTGGCTATTATCATCATCATCACTGTCCCCATTCACTACATCATGTGTATTATCATTTCTTACAGCATTATTGATATCTGTGTCACTGTTTTCCCAATCATCATCACATGTCTGTTTCTGTCCTTAGAGATCTGAAAGAGTTCTATATACTTTCAAACAGCTGTTTTGATTCATAATTTCTAATATCATTTGCTCTTACATGTACTACAAAAAGAGAATGCTCTCTTTTACCAGCAACTAAACTGTCAATACATCCTATAATGTACTGTATTTTAGCACCTGGCCAGTTAATTATAGTCCTAGTCTCTCCGTGCTCTCCACTAAATATAAGTAGATGAGTATGTACATATAACAAGAGAGAGTCCTTACTACCGTCAGTTTCTTTTTTAATTTGTTCATTGTTTCAAACACCTAAAGATTTATATTCATTAACATGAATATTAAATGGATCTGTCTCTATAGCTTTAACTTTTTACTACTGGGTACCCTTGTAAGTCAAGCACCCTCCTGCCCAAAGCAGCCTTTACCCTAACTCCAGTCATTCCCTGTCTTGCTTCACTGATTTCTGCTCCTAGTATGTTATCTCCCTCTTCTCCAATAGCACAGTCTTCCCAATAGCTATCCCTAACTTATCCTAAAAAAAAAGCAAGCTGTGCAAGTATAGTGTCTTTCTGAGCCTCCTGATAATTGCAATCAATCCCACAATTTTAAAACATAACTTAGCCCTATCAGTTATCACACCCTATAAATTCCATTCCACTTATCCCTGATCATCCTCTTACCATATTGAAGTTTACTTATCTTTATTCTCTATCACAAATCCACCCACACAATAATTATATGTTTAACTAAAAGTGATTTATTTCACAATACATAAATTTATCTAACACTAACATTTTTATACTATAAATTACTAGTATAATTATCCATAAAAATTTAAAAATTAATTTGAAGCTGCAAACTCTGGAACAAAAGTTATAAAAAAAAATTAAAAAAAGGATATATTTCAGTTTATGACATAGACCAGTGGTTTCCAACTAATTGTCCACAGGGAGATTTCAACCAGTCTCTAAGATGGTTGAAAAAAAATGTGTTTTCAAATATAGCAACTGAAGTATATTGTTATACAAGGTAACTTAAATGTATTTGAAAAAAGTTAATATTGTATGAAGCTGCCCCATTACATTTTTGGATTAGAACCAGTTGGAAAAAGGTTGGGAACCACTGACATAGACTTCCTTTAAGAGTTGTTGTTTGTAATATTCAGCTTGAATTAAAAGATGATATTTTTCATTTGAAGATGTCCAAATCTTCTTGTGAAATGCTAGGAAGATCATTTTTTAAGAAGATAAAGTCACTGGTGAACTCCCAGTATAGCAACAGTAGACAGGTAGTATATATATATTTATATATTATTTTATATTTGGATGATATAAGTAGACATGTTACCTGAAATTTTTAGTCATAAGTGTTTAAAAATTTTTAAGAATGTATTATAATTAATTTTTTTATTTTGTATGATAGATTTGCCTAAGAACAGTAATTTGAACAATATCTTAAATAGAATATACATTCTTTTAATGAAATATTTTTGTAACACACCTAGATATCTATGAAATGTCATCTTGAGCAAGGTGGTTATGTACTTATACCAACAACCTTTGAACCAGGACAAGAAACCAGCTTTACTTTACGTGTCTATTCAACCAAGTTGATCAAATTAAAGTAAGTAATAACACATTTTCTTGCTGCTTAGTATAAAACACACGTTGAGTACTAAATCAATGATTATAGATATTTGACTGATGGATAATAAATGTATTTCTGTTGTGAGTAAAAAGGATATTTTAAGATCACACTCAGTAAACTAAAATAAAATGTATATCTTTGAAAACAGATAAAAGTATTTCTTATTTTATGATATCATACACTGCTATGCTTCAAATTATGATATGTACAAAACAGTTGGTGTAATTTTCCCACTGAGTATGTTCCATATGTTTTTTAAGTTTAAAAAAGAATGGGAAGACTGACTTCCAGATTAAAAAAAGTATTAGAAGTTGTCTGGATAGAAACAAAGATTTAGTTTCAAATAACTTTTCTTCTCTGATATTTATTTTAAAAACTCGTAAGATTATTAAAGCTTTTTGATTTTGCTTTTTATTGAAACAGGTGGTTTAATTAATACTTTTACATATTTTAAGATTACTTGACTGTATACCTGCAGCTGTGAAACCAGCCATTATGAAGGTAAACTCACTAAACATTTTGTTAAAGACACAGCAACTTGTTCAACTGTATAGATTACTAGGATACAATATATGTATTGGATAACACAACACCTCATTAGGTTATATAAGATTTTGTATTTGATGATTCTCAAAACAAGATTTAATTGTTAAAAGTTAGTTTATAAGACAGAGTAAGACGTAGGATTTCATAGGTAATTTTTAGCAATGTGAATTATAAATCTGAGAGTAAGTTGGGAAGATACTTGTATGTGATTAACATTAAAACGTTGCTCATTTGCTCATAATGTTGTAATTAATTATTAGGCAGATGTGTTACACGTTACATTTTGTTACTTTTTTTGGAATAAGACTGTGCTTTAATTGGTTAATTGTTGGAGTAAGCATATCTAAATACAATCTTTTAAAATATCAATGAATTAAAGAAATTATTGACCATCAAACTGAATAGAAAATGAATTGAAGCTTTGGATTTGTGTTTGTTTATGTTGGCTTTTTTGTTACTTTTCTCCTACATACAATTCTAAATCTTTCACTACTATAAATATTATCTAGATTTTAAAGAAAGAATGACAATTTAAACATCATTTTATAATGTTTCAAGCAAATTACTTGCATCTATTACTAAGATTTAAAAATATTGAATGTATAGATCTTGATTCAAAATACTCAGTTTTAACTTAAGCATTTGAATTTTTTTAAAACCATTAACGGAAAATTTCTTTTTTGCTTCATAATAGAACTGAATAATTTTGTAAAGTAGAACAACATATTTGTTGTTGTTATAGGCTCCACCATCATTTGATAGTAAGGTCAGCTCATATGAAACTATTTTCTTGCAACTGGCAGATGAGGTGAGGAAAGGTAGAATGTGTTGTATAGTCACTAAATTTGTTTTATTATTCTTAACTTTGTTTAATGCAAACTGGAGTTTATTATGAAACATTTCTATAAATGTAAATAAAATCACGACCTATACCTCCAGAATGTAACTTTATTAGCTCAATATTTCACTATTACAGCTTCACCAGGAGCTATAGATATCCTACAAGTTCAATAATCCAGTTAACTCTAAATTGGAACACTGTCGTTCGTAATTCGAACATTGATACATGTGTTTAGAATGTTGATATTATCGTAAAATAATATCAAACATTTTTTAATTTACTATATTGCTAAATTGTTTGCATTCTCTTAATAATTTCAATACTGTTTGAACTGGAAAAATAACTCTTGCTGAATATCAGTACTGTCTCAGTGATTTATATTATATCAGTAGCCTGAGTTTTTTTATCTTCTAAAACAGTATTCTTGTTAGAAATATTTTATAGTTTACTAGAATAAAGATAAGTAACATGATTCTAGTTATAGAACTTAAATAATGTTCCCTGAACAAATCAAAAAGTGTTCTACTTGTAATTTGTATTTTTTAAACACTTTGCTCTTAAGAGTAAATGTTCTATATGTTATATCACTAAAAATTTCACCCAAATCTTTTTAGTAATACTGAAAGATTACTACATAAAAATGAGTTCTTTTGACTAGGTCATCCTCTAAAATGTGCATAGAAAATAGAAGTCACAAAGCATTTGATTAAAAGTTATGAAGTCTTTTAAGGTTTTTGGATTTAATAAGGGTATTCATATAATAAGTCACTAGAGCAATAAAGTCAAAAGGCTTTAAATATCTCATTCACTTGTTGTTAAGAGAGAGGTAACTGTTTCATGATTTTAGAAAAGCCTTTGAAGTTTGTTGTGACAGTGAAGTTAGAGATGTCTCACATTTGAAATATTTCATCCTCATAGAAATTGTTAAAGTTGGAAGATACCATTGTATAGTGTCGATGTTTTACAAGTGCAGAGGTGTGTTAAAAGTTGGTTTCACTGTAGCAATGAAATGATAATTTTAATGGGTATGTGTCTATATTTTTGTCACTACATTTTTATGTATTGTATTACCCCATCAAGTTATGAATTTTGTGTTATTACTATTTCACTATGAAATAATGGAGTTGTGTTTAGATTTGTTTATGAAAATTACCAGTTTGTTAAAATGGAGTAGATGAAAATTAATAAGATTAATAGAACTCAAAGATTTACTGTGATTATTGTGTAACAATAGTTTCTTGACTCTTGAACCAAGTTGATTTTGTTACTGATAATGGAAAACTATATATAGGTTTCTGTCATATTGAGAAGCGTATATGTATCTAAAATGTTGTAGCACAAGTCGGTGAATGTATTTGAACTTCAAGAACTACTAGAAGCGTGTCTTCCAAATGGTATGTTTGTGACACAATTATCAAATTATAGTAATAATAATAATAATAATAGCCATACTGAAAAAAAATCATATTAGAAATACTAATGTTTCTTTTAAACTTTGCATACCTTTATTGTTGAAAACTGCATTCTATATTTGTGATTATATTAATTTTTCTTTCTGTCACGTTTTTTAAGAGGTAGCATTTGCTGTTACATATAGCATAATACTTAAATTATTAACTTGTGGATTTAAGAAATTGTATTTTATAAGTACCAGAGATACTACATTAATAAAGTAATATACTCAAATTCACAAGTTAAATTCATATTTTTGTCTAAATTGGAAAATACCTCTATATAATCAGATAAAGTATTCCAATAGTTATAATAACCCCAAGGTATACCTATGTGTAAAAATCAGCATTAATGTGAATATGTTTGTACAACAAAATTATAAAACAATAAAAACTATACAATTCTGAAGTTGAGATACAGTTCTGAAGTTGTTTGTTATGACATAATTTTACATCACTGATATGTGTACTTGTGATTATATAGATTATGTGAAAAGCTGTGCTAATCTTGAAGTGTGTCGACAGATGGTCCTCACTCTGGATGTATCCTTTTTGCTGATTGTATTTTTTCTCAGTGTAAAATAACATAATAAATTTCTGTGAAACAACTTTTTATGCTTATTACATATTATTAACTTTAACATAACATATTGTTCCTACTGTTAAACTTTTCACACTGTAGGAAAGCATTCAGTTTATGGAATGGGGCTTGGTTATTGAGGTATACGTTGAGCTTTGCATTTCTGGATTAATAGGCATTAAACTGAATATAAAGGGGTGGTGAGGGTCTTGAGGATATCCTTGGTTTAAAGGTATCTCAAAACTTCTACATTATTGTTGAAAGTACATGCATTACCAAGATTGTAATCATAAAATAAAGTCAGTAGTTTTGTTACACTTGAATATATGGATGAATGACTGGTGATTTTATTTTATTTTTGATTGGATTGCATACATTATATATAAATGGCTATATTTTAAATTTTTTTATAAATAGAAAGTATTTTTAAAATTTCAAATAAAAATAGGATATGACCCAGTTCTATCAAACGGATAAACCATCTTTAACGTTTCAACAGAAAGTCGGCAGTGGTCGATTGAAGTTTACTGATTACAAGAATCTGATGTGTAGCCTTAAGTATTGGCAGGTAAGTTAGTTCTGTTGTAGTTAAAAATCACCACAAAATTGTTTTGGTCAGGTTGAAAAGTTTTAAATTACTTAAACTTATACAAACTGACATGTGAATTTAAGAATTATTGTCAGAATATGAAGCTCTTAGATCAATTTATTAGAACTAGTAACACAACTTTACCACTTTTTTTTGTTATTTGAGTGATCAAAAATTGGGTCTTTGTAATTGTAAGATATCTCTAGAAATGTAAATTTAAGGAATTTAAAATAGTTTACAGTTATGCTAAAATCCATTTGGCACAGTTTTGGCTTTCTGGGAATTCTTAGATTTGCTTCTCCCTACTAAGTACTTTTATTGTTTACTTTTAGCTAAGTTTCTTGATTTTTAAACTACCATGTGTTTCTCTAATAATGAATGGATTTAATTTCCATATGTGTAAATTTGTTTTTGAATTTATTGAACAATGTTTAACTACAAGCATCACACATATTAAAAACCAGTTTACAACAATGAAAGTGTTACTGTTCTTATTAATGACTGTTTGAATAACTTTGTATTCTTAAATTCTTAATTTATTTGCCTCCTAATGGCTCAACAGTAAGTCTGTCAGCTTATAAAGTGAGTAATTGGTTTCAATAGTCGTGGTGGGCACAGCAGAGATAGCCCATTGTATAGCTTTGCGCTTAACAACAGAAAAACTCAATTCCTTATACATATTAAATAAGCTCACATAGTTGTAACTTTCAAGCATTTGAGAAATATTGAACAATAGTAATAGAGTTACAAAGTCCCTTAAAACAATACAAACAATTAGCTCTCTTAGATGGTTTACAAAGATTGAATTTCTTATACTGGGGTTTGTAGACAACTTTCAAGAATCATACCAAAGGAACAACTGGAATACTTAGAGCAGAGAGGCTCAAAGAAGCCCTGTTCGACATAGGTAAGCCTTTATCTTCTTTGCTTAAGCATATTTTGTTTACAAAAATATTAATGGAGAACTTTAATATCTGTCAAACCTGAGCATGTAATTCTGAAATTCAAATATAAGTTAAATAATATAAAATAAAGCCTTAATACAAAGGTTTAAATATTTCCTGACTTTGAATAATTTTGAAAATTGTAAATTCTTGTGAACTTTACCAAATGAACAATACACTTTACTCTCTGATTTAAGTTATATTCTGAAAACATATTCAATTTGAAATATTTTAATGTAAAATACAAAGCTTTGATTTATATAGAGTTAGATACTTTTAATGAATAAATGAGTTTAATTGAAACAAATTCTACATCCTTTTGCAGTTTGTTTTGAAATAAAATACTATTTTTGCTTGTAAGGATGATTAGAAATTTCACACTATATATTTCTCTAAATTTTGGTCAATCCGCTATCAGTTTTTTATCACCTTTTTCAGGATTTCAGTTGAACATGGAGTCTCTCTCACTTCTTGTGTTTCATTATATGAGAAAAGACGGAACATTACGATTTGGAGATTTTGTGTCTTGTATTTTACGGTTATCAATGGCATTTGGTAATTTATTAGTTTTTGTTAAAACTTCAAGTAACAGTTAATTTCGAAGTTGTAACATTTAAAAATATCTCATGTAGTTTACATTGCTAATTTTTTATTCAGTTAGACACAGTTTTTTTTGATTAAATTATTCAAAACGTCCAGACATAATAAACAAGCTAGTTTGTTGTAGTTCTGAATCTGCTTTGTCTGATATTAAATTAATCTTGAACTTGGAGTTTTTAGTTTGTTTTAGTTATTATATTATGTTTATTAGTGATTTATTTTCAGGGAAAAGTATTTATACTATTTTGATAATCTTATGGTTGCAGAATTATTTTGTTTTATTTTTAATGATTATTATTATTAAAAGCACCAAATTGCATTACATATTCACCTGAAATGATAATTTTAGTTAACATTTATTTACCAAACCTATAATATATGTAAATAACTATTAGTGAGCAAACTTACATAATTTTATTTTAATTTACAGCGATATTTGAGAGGAAGGACCCATTACAGAATGGTTACATCAAGCTTAACCTTTCAGAGGTGTGATACATGTGTTACAATCTTCTTTTCTGCCATTTAAAGACATGTTGAACATTAGCTGAATCAAATTAAAATTCAATGAATGCCTTATGATTAAACTATAATTGTAGCTCAGTAATTTTAGTAAGTTCTGTGTATTTTTTAATAAGCTATGTAATTGAAAAAACTTATGTGATAATGCTGAGAGATATAATACAATTTGGACTGTTTTGTTAACGAAAGAAAAATCAGAATTAGATTTTAGTTTGCCAAATTTCAGCAAAAATACTCAATAATGACAAACTGACAATTTTAAACAGCTTTCTCCTTTAAAAATATGCATTTGTAATTTACGATTAAATTAAATTTTTTTTGGAGATAATTTAGAGATCTAACAGCATAGATTGCATTCTTCTGTCTCATACTTACAAAGTCTCTCCCAGGTGTTCTGTAATGTTTCATTTGTTTCATCTGATTTTGGTTTTCTTATCTTGAAAAGTACCACGAATTTTCTTTTCCAGAAAAATAATATTAACTTTTTTTATGTGCTTGATTTTCTGTATTTCACACAAAAATTTGATTTCATCTATTGAAATTTTTAATTAAAAATATAATTGTTTCTTATGAATGATTTAAAATTATGTTAATTGTTAGTATAGTTTTTAATTTAAAATATGACTATCATTATAAATTATTTAAAATTAATTTAAATATTAACATGGTATTTTCAGAGGATTAATGATTTGTTTTATTGCTATATGAAAGTAGTTTTCAGTTGCACAGTTCTAATGTTTCAAATGCTTGAGAGAAAATCTTTGGCTTAAATCATTTTTTCTTGTTAGTGGCTGAAAGTTTCTCTGCAGTACTGAAAAGATTGAAGAATCAGTGATGTTTTACTCTACCTCAAGACTTAATTAATCTGCAAGATGTATCAGCGGCACTTCAATGTAATATTAATCTCTTGGCATGTAAATAACTTCAGAAAAACAGATGTTAGTAAATTACTTGTAATTCTTATATATTTATGTATATTATGCCATAAGTTGGGAAACAATATCATTCTTATTAGTACAGTTGACATTTATTAAAAATATTGTCATAGCATAATACATTTATAGGGATGGAAATAGTTTTTTTTAAATCAGAATTATAATTTGACTTGCTCAAAATTTAACACATTAAAAACTTGACTGTTAATGTTTCTTGTTATGCATACATAATAATTTTGCTGATGTTATATTCTGTACTTGCTAAGGTTTTTTAAACTCTTGGGTTAAGATAAAAGTAAAAATTAAGTGATATTTTTGTGAAAGGTTTACTGTAACAATAATATCAATATCTTCATATCAAATCGCCCACCAGTGTCACAGTAGTATGTCTGCAGACTTACAATGCTAGAAACCGGGTTTCGATACCTATGGTAGGCAGAGCACAAATAACCCTTTGTGTAGCTTTTTGATTAACTACAAACAAACAAACCATATCAAATCTTTGTTAGTAATTTGTAGTGTTAAATCCACATTTATCTAAACATTTTTTATTTCCTTTTTATATTGTGATGAAATATAAATTGCATATTAACTCTTAGATACTACCAGAAATCCTGCAAAATCTAATTTTTATTTGCAGTTATATTTCAGTCATCATATCAAATCATATTTTGTAGTTTGATAATGTGCCTTGATATTATATAACTTAAAAATATGTTTTTGGTTATGCAAAAATTGGGTCCAAAATTATTTGGATGTGAATTTCATTAGCTGAATTCTATTGAAAAGAATTTCCCAGTGTGTGAAACCAGTACCACTGATTGGAGTGTAAAGACCACCTGTGTATAAACACTAGTTTTCATATTTTCAAAATACGAGTTTAATACATAGGTTTTAGTGTAAATACTTATTCTTGAGTGAATGTTACATGGAATTCACATATCTTACTTTACCCACTATATAAAATAAACACAATAAAAATCAAAGTAAATATCAGTTTAAAAATATAAAAAGTTTAGCAAGTATGGTACAAAAATCATTATTAGTACACATATATATATATATATATTCACACACATATATATACAATGTACAAATGTATAACTCTTAAATGGCACACCGTCTTCCAAATTGCAATCCCGACTTTAGCCATTTTATTTTAATAGAAACCAAAATTGCAGAAATATTTCATTATTGTTGATGTATCCACCACCTCCATCCATGAATTTGAATCCAGTGAACAGCATCCAGTAAACTAATCTCTCTGGTAATTTAAGGACTCAAGGCAGTTTTGTATTAGTTGCTTTTGACCGATTACAGAGTTAAGCAGACATATTTGATTTTTCAGTTTCATTGCCTGAGTGATGTCTAAATCAAGTGGTTAAGACTTGTATAACATGTTTGTATTTGCAGGTAAAAACACCAACTTGTCATTTTCCATGGTAAGACAAGGGCAAGATGACATATTGTCAAGAAACACTAATAATCTCCTTTCTTGAAATTTCATATTGTAGCCAAATTTTTGCAGCCATTTACTTAACATATCAGATGTAATTAAACCTTAAAATTAGCCCTATGTCATGATGACAAAACCTTGTCGAAACGTTGGACATTTATGTTAAACTTATATTAAAGTTTTTCTTCATTACCCATTCAAGCCGTCTCCAGCCATTATCAAATTAGGCAATTGTTAAACTATAACTCATTTTAATAACACTCAGTGTGTCCTGCAGGTTGTTTTGGCCGCATGAAACACTACCATGTGTCTTGATTTATAGTATTGTTCTATGGGATGAATCTGGTTTTGATAATTCTTCAACTATTTGGATAAAATATCTTGAAATTCAGGAACCAAATTGTTATGTTAAACTTGAACTTTGTTTGAATTTACTTCAGCAAAAACCTAGTTGTAAATAGCAAATTTAGTAGCTAAATGAAAACACTAGATTAGCTTTCTTAAAGTATGATAGACCACGCGCTACTTTTTAATTAAAAAATACGTTTTACAATTGATTTGTAAAAGTACTGTATACCACTGACTTTTACATTTAATCTAATTTTGTGCCCATAATGCCCTAATTCTAGGTAACAGCATGAGCCAAAATACTGGTTTATGGTTTGAGTAAATAATGTCTACAGTATCTCCAGCCTTGTTTGCTTCCATTTTTACGATCCCTATTTGCTGCTTTTTAAATTCCCAACTTTTTATTTATCTCGTATGTTTATTCTATGTTGTTTTCATTCGATTCTGGATTAGTTTCATGCTTATTTAATTTCATGTTTTAATAACAGAGCCTCTTCAAGTTTTTTTAAAACTCTACATATCATTTAGTATTATAAGCTATTTTTTGTTTTATTTTACATAAATTAACTAATTTGTAGTCCTTGATTAACATCAACAACAATGACACATTTGATTGAGTCAAAATATGGATTTGTGGTTTGAATAAATAATGGATTTTTTACGATCCCTATTTGCAGGTTTTTAAATTCCTAATTTTTATTTATCTTGTTTGCTGGGTTTTTATGCTCAAGTATGAGCAAAGGATTACTTGAAATGATAATGATAATAAACATAACTATTAGCTAGCTGATACGGTTCATGATGATTTGCTGTAGCTATTGGCTATCTGATCGCATTAGTTCGAGATGTAAAATGTTAAGCTGTCGCTGGAGATTGTCATGGAGATTTGTTCGAGAATATAGTGAGTTTCTGTGTAACTAAATTCTCTGTATATAATGCATAGCAATGAGCAAATATATGCCTAGACTAAAACACAAACCCCACTAAGCGCGTATAAGATTTTATCAGTAGGAAAGCAACCTTTTCAAATAAAACATATACGTCTAAAACAACGCTTTAGATAAACCTTCGTGTCTTTCAAAGTAATTATTCTAAGAATGTGTGTAATAAAATTTAATATTATGTGTATTATTTTTTTACTCCTTCATTTCATACATAATATAGTATAGTGTACAAAGCATTATCTACATGTTACAGTCATCAAATGTTCATCTGTTATTGGCTGGTAATTCCTGTTTCACCCTGTATTTAAGTTTTTTATAGGAACACCAGTTGTTTATAAAAAAGCTGACTTCAAGGGGTAATGATAACATCGTTTACACTAGAATTATGATGTTTTTTTAGCTTATGTAAATTATAAAAGAAACAAATCGACTTTTCAATACACCTACAAACTTCACAGTACTTTATTTAGTAGTCTATAAAAGGTGTGGGTGCAATATATTAAATCCTTTTTGTTGTAGAGAATAATAATAATAATTACAAACGGGCTGTTTTGATAGGATTTTTCTTTTCCTTTAAAGTTTAACATGCGTGCTTTTTTGTACATTGTTATATGTATACAGTCCTATCAGTCAATAGTAAATGTTTTAAAATGTTGTTTGAACTGAATCTTTACTGTTTAAGGTGCTTTTTACCGGAACATTTTATTAGAGTTTTGTGTAATTCCTTGAGATCCCTATTATCGTGGTTCATGATAAAAAAAATGTAAAAGAAAAATACATTTTAAATTAAAAACGATGCTTTCAGCCTTCTTCAATGGAAAGTAGATTGGTTTAAAAATGTTCTGTTGCATGTTAATTCCTTATTATCAAGGAAACAAAATAATACAACAGTCTGGGTAATGTGACATAATATCTAGTGTTAACTTTATTTTCCGAGGTACTAGAAAGGTAACCTATAAGATTTAGTTTCCTCAATAATACAACTATCTTACCATTTACGGGAGTTTAGGAACTCTCCTTGAAACTTTTGACTTTTATTAGGTTGTTATGAAAATCGCCACTATTGGTTTTTATTACAATGCCTATAAATATTTGTTTTTGTTTTTATGTCTTTAACATAAGTGTACCTAACCTAGAAATCAGGAATCTGTATTTATGTGCAAACTCGGCAATGCTTCGTATTCTAAGATTTAAACATGTAAGTCTTGTTGGAGTATTAGGCTAGGACTTCTCTCGAAGTTAAGAACAACAATAACTTGATGAAAAATATTTGAGAAACTTTCGAATGATAATTGCTAGACAACAAAAGAGTTTCGGAGAACTGAGAGGTTAGCGTCCAGATAGTGTTTACACTTACTGAATTAGGCTACTTTGACGCTCAAACATTGGCTAGTCTAAACATCCAAGTCAAGATTAGGGGTCTTGGAGGTTTCTACCTAGAACTAGAGATAATTGGAATCATAATAACTTTAAAATTTGTAAGTTGTTATGTTTATTTAATAGTTTAGATATGCCACTCCTAAAGTAGATCCTGCCATGGCCTGGTGGTTAGGACACGAGATCTACGGGTCGTGGGATCGAAACCCGGCACCGAAAATGTTCACCTTTTAAGCCGAGGAGGCGTTTTAATTTCATGATCAATCCCACTAGGGGTGGCAGTTCAAAACTGGTTTTACGCTGTTTTCGCAAAAAACAAAAAATATATTTAAGGCGTAAAATATACATGTAGTTGTGCAAAGGTATTTCACAAAGTGTTGTATTTCTTTATTTTTTTAAACTGGATTGTTTTATGGTTGACAGATTGATTGAGGAACAGGATTATATATTTTACTAGTGTTTGCTTATAGCCAAACAATCAAGGATATTTATCATATATAAAAATCTTATCACTTGATGATACACAACCTTTTACGTCTGTATGAAAAGGGCCTGGCATGGCCAGGTGGTTAGGGCGCTCGACTCGTAATCTGAGGGTCG